TCATTATATATATATTAATTTTGAAGCGATTGATGCAAATTTCGCCACACCCATCAACTAACAATGCGTTTTGACATTTCTACTTACCGCTAAAGGGCGCTCAAACATTTCATTACGTTACCGATTTTTTTTCGGAAAGGTCAACCTCGCCAGAGACTAACATCTTTGAAAGCAAGTTCATATTTAGGCACTTCCGGTTTCGACCGGAAGGAAGGGTTACGTGTTTTGGCACGCATTAGATAAAATTTCCCATGAGGTGAACAATTCTCTTAAGAAAGGCCACTCGGATTTAGACGCACCATTTTGGAGAGTTTGCCCTGGGGGATTAAGACTCTTAACCGCACTTATCCTATAATTGGTTCCCGAAAGGAGCGAAGGTCACTCTGCTTAAGAGATTTCTAGCATAATATTTTGTTCCTAAATTCAATCTAAAAGTATTATCATGATGATATACCTGAAATGTTGCTTTGTTTTATATGTTGAACTGTGAAAATCGGTGAATAAATGGCCGAGAACGATTTTTTACTGCTATGCTCGCATACATTTACCACAATCGCCAGAAAGTAGAGTCCCAGAGAGCAGTGTGGCTGACAGATGGTAGTTTGTTTAACTTTGAAGTGATTAACTCGCTGGGATTGTGGAGCAGGGAGCCTGAGCATTGTTTACTTAAGGGCTCCCCAGGGGCTCCCCATGGAGGTCCAAAATTTTGTTTGTGACACTACCCACTTTCTTAAGAGGGCTGTTTTCGTCATGAGGTATCTCACGGTTAATTTTATAATGAATTTCAAAGTTTAAATTTATATGTTTTTCAAGTAGCGAAACGTGACCCATGAAGACGTCATAATGAGTTAATTGCAAAAAAGCACATCTTCAATGGGTTGTGTGATACATGATTGAAAATTGAAGTTCATATATGTTTCCATTTGGACAAACAGTTGTGGAGAAGAATTTGTCTTGAAGAAACACAATAATAGTAAATTCTTTGAATAACAGTAGGTGTTGGGCTCATGGCCCAGCACTTAATTAATGTACCGACTCTGACTAGATGCAGAAACTCAAAAATACTACAACGAATCGGGCAGGTGTGTGTTCCATCATGTACAAGGGTGAAAATACGTTCCTGGATACAATAAATCCAATTGTCAAGTCCATGCTGGACAAGGGTTCTTCAACATACTGTATCTTTCTATTGAGTATTTCGTATGGCTCAGATTCAATTTCAGATTAACGTTTTTCATTTTCATTAGTTATGCACATAAAAATCAAACAATAGAAATTATTGCCATTGTGGAAACCAATACAATTTTTAAATTATGTTTCGTCGTATTGAAGCATCTTTGTGATAATCACCTGAAAGGTTGACGGTTGCAAACAGCATCCGACAATAGGTGGCGCTCTTTAATGACATGATATAGTGTAGGTAGCCCCAGTATACACTGGGCTGTAATTGGCTCTTAATTTTTTGCAACACATTGATTTTACTCTAGTCATTAACAAGAAGCAATTTATCCGGAGTTATTATTTGTTCAATCATCGACATTTTAACGGCATGATCGCCTTCATCAACTTACGATTTTTTTTCGAATAAACGCGGAGCCCCTCTTTAATCTACACAGGCCTGAACCTGGTTGGGATTGTTTCCTACCGTAACGGCCCTAAAGTGAAGGTTTAATACGATAAAAGTCGCTACGCGGACAGACATGTGCCAGAAGATGCCTGAGTGGTTAGCAATGTTTTTGATGGGAAGTAAATATACAGTACACAGTATTTGTTGTATATACACCCCTTATTGGCAAATATAGGAATGAGGAACCAAGGACACCAAATCTTCAGACAACGAGAGTACAATAATATATTATTACTTCAAATGTTCTATGTCCTTTTTAACTGTATTCAATTAAAACTATGCACCAATACAGTACATAAAATAAATAAGTTGCCTCCACAATAGAGTTCAACACACAGAGGTTCCCTATTCCTTGTCAGCCATCCTTGGCAATAGACACAACGGCTCATTCCCTACAGCCTCCATCGAAGTGAACACAAGATGGTACAACTTCTAGATATACGACTTCCGATACACGCAAGCGGCGCGTCTAACTATGCATTTGGGTACTAGACTATTAATGCTTTTTGGACTTATCTATTTTGAAAGGGGTATTCCTGGTGGAGCCACAAAGCATCTTGACAAGCCTTGATGCCCTCGTTAAAATAAGCTGACTAAACTAAAAACCAAAGCAACAGGGTACTTTTTATAAAATTAAATCTCATCCAACTTTAAAACTTGGATAAAGGAGGACCCTGCATCTCCGTACTAATAGTGATACAAAAATAATTTAAACTGTTAGACGAAAAGTGAGCTATCGAATCCAACATTCCACGAAGCTTTCCTGATGCGTGCGATGAACTGGGAACATCACATCTCGGGCCTCCTGACTATTAAACTGTACCCCAAGGGTAGCCATTTACCCTACGCGGAAATTTTCCAACTACAACCGCCTCTGATATGGACCAATGGTCGCCTATATCTCGAGCTCGGGGGACATGTAGTGTTCAATAAGCTTGTACATTATAATTAGTTCCATGTTATGAGAACAGCCTGGTGCCTGATCGTGCTTTAAATCAGTGCTAAAATTAGGCCTACATCAGGTTTGCTAAAGCCACACGAACGGGGCAGTGCATGCAGCATGGCAAATTAGGGCGAGTTCACAATGCAGAAAAACTTTCCCTCTGAAGAGTGCAAATTCACTCTATCCCAGTTAAAATTTAATTATAAAACAACGGAAACTACGGACCAGACGATTTACAATTAATCCATTCCATCAAATAGACATCGAATGTTCACTCCAAATCGTCTGTTTCATTTCCCCCTTTGGAAATTAGAAAATTGAGGAACAAACCAAACCCGGTATGTTTATTGGCAACAGCGGAAGAAATGACGTGTCGGACGCATTTTCCGCCATGCGCCCGAAGCTAGCCCACGAGAGCTTGGCACACGGTTAATTGATGCGCGCACGCCGTTGGCGTTTATAGTCTTGTGTCCAGATCAGTTTTTATTGGATATTGAATTGGCTACACGATGTCCCAGCCGAAAATGACATGTCGCGTATAAGTGGTTTTTTTTTACGAGACTCTGGAACGTGGCTTTGTTATTGACGCCACAGTTACGGGTCAAGTTCATATACCTTACCCAACCTTAACCACGGCCCAATTTCTTGGCTCTGTTAACCGTTAACGAACAAAATTTTTGCTTATTGTCATTGCAGAAAATTGTATGCTTGCGGTGAGCGTATTTCAACGGATGGCGAAAATATTGCTTGTAAGGCTGTGTCCGAAACGAGCTTCCAGAGCCACAGCTACGTCTATTGCCAGCGCTTCCCCGCGTATGTCCAATGGGCGCAGACAGCTGATCGGGATGCAGCCTAAGCAGCCTAACTAAAGATCATGCGCTTACAGGCTGGCACATAACTTTTCTGCTGGCGCGGTTAGCACAAAATAATGATCGTAAGCGTAGAATTTTGTTGCTAGCAGGGTCATGAAATTGGGCCCAGTTGACTTGACTGATTCATGAATAATTTGTAAAAGGACTAACGGATTTTAATAGCGAAACTGATTCGTTGGGAAATCACGTGCAAGATGGAACATTATATAACCGTGCTTACCTTCACTACTGCATACTACGACGCTTTTTTACGCACGCGCATTTTTGGAAGTGTGAACTCGTGTATTCTCCCCTTACAAATATGGGGCAAACAGTGCGCATGCGCTTCTTATACAGGCAACTACAGTCCATTTTCGGTCTGTCGTTTAAAATGGGACACATAAAAGGCTGCCAGAAAGTTGCAGAAACGTTTGTTGCATCTTCTGTGATACTATAGCTAAAATTACGGAGTTTTGTTTCGGAAAGAGAATGCGCATGAATAAAATTTAGGCAAAACAGGCCCGCACCCATGACGCGACTACGGCAAGATGATTCCCAATCAGTGGCCTGCCCTCTATATTGTTTACACTGTCAACCAGCCGTATAGTATGACGTCAGTGATAAAACAAGGTCTATGTCGGAATACTGGCTTGGGAATCCCCGTAAGATCTTGAGGTAAGTTTTAGGAGCCGTATAAACGCAAATCCTAGTGCATCCCAGATCCACAGGCAAGCTGACGTTGGAGTAGTAGTCAGCTAACGCAGAGCGCAAGTGTCTGACTTTCTTTGAAAGGTGTCACAGAAATATCTTTGGAGGTGCAAAGTAATTGGCAGGTACAGTTTTTTAAAGTGAAAATGTCTTAGCTACGTCACTTCTTTTTGGAAATCTTTTAAATGCAGGTCGAACGAATTGAGTCATTCACGGTTTCAAGTAAATTTACGTGACTCCTCTTTTTTCACTGACTAACTGACTAACTCAGTGAATAATGACCAACTTTAACGTCTCTTTTGACGTGGCCTGATTGTTTGCTGGTCAAGAGATCCAGGCGAGGCGTTCCCTTGTATTGGATGGCACCATGCGTAATGAGCTTAAGCCGCTCAGACAGAGTGAATAGCCATTTTGAATCGATTCAATAGAATATAGTATTAATCTTTGGCTTACAATGTATGTCTCGTCTTCTTTCAGGTGAATGAGTCTAGCGAAAAATGGGTACCGGTATTTCTCAAAGCCACACAGAGCCCTTTAAATGGTCTGGTGAAGAGGTGTTTGCGAAATTTGAGGACAACTGGTTTGCCGAAGGAACGTACAAACGCGTCTTCCATGGCAGAATAACGCCCGTCAATGACCGGAAGTTCAATTGCGGTGAGCAGTGTGTTGTGAAACTCTATAAAGAAAGTTTCTGTTTCAGATCGAAAGAATACACTTGGAGGACGGAACATTGCACCTCCGAGAAGACAAAAGAAATGGCTGAGAAGTTCAACGTCAAATACAGCGATAAAGGCATTGCAACGATTGAGGTTCTTATTCCTACCATTTCCAAAATCAAAAAATTGCTCCATACAACCTCCCTAGGTATGCGATGACCCCAGAGGGTGCATCTGTAACGATTGAGAGTTTGGTTCAGGGACGGTACGTCAAATTCTTAAACAATTTTGGTTACGTGAACCCCAGTGAAGATACCCTTGTTCCAGAAGCCTTCTCCCACTTCACGTACCATGAATCAAACGGCGAAATCCTCGTGACAGACTTACAAGGAGTTTACAACCAGACACGCTACGTCTTCACTGATCCGGCAATTCATAGCATTGAGATTCCCAGGTACACGTTCGGCCACTACGGTCCAACCGATCTTGGGGTGTTCGGCGTGATGAAGTTCTTCCAAAATCACAAATGCAATCTCTTGTGTGATGGGTTACGAATACCTGAGGTTTCAAAAGTTTCAGATTATTGGAAGGAGGATTTACATCGGGTCACCGACTCTGTCGAATTTAAAAGTGATTCAACTTACACGTACGAGTTGCAGAATGTCGGACTGCCGGCCCAACGCATACAAGAGCTGCACAACAACGTTGCCGAAACGCTTGCTTTGAGTGGACGTCATGGTAAGCAGTTAAATGGCACTCGGTAAGACAGTTTGGAATGTGAGATATGTGCAGTTGCATGAGCAGAAAATTGAATGTTTAAAGATTTTATCAAAGGTGTGGGTGGTGGTACAGGATCAGTATTTTTAAAAATATAGACCCCCTTTTTTTTTACCTGCAAGGATGGAGGACACCAGACTAAACCCAATATATCTCGTCTTGAAGATCTCTCCTACCGGCCGGTGTGTCTAATTACTTATAAATCCAAAAGTTTTACCTCTAAAAAAAAATTAAAAACAAAAAAAAAATGATATGTATAAATGATGAATGCGATCAAGCCAAACGTTAAAGGGTATTCTATATGGAATAAAGCCACACTACGTGATTACGTCCAGCGATATGAAATACCGTACAATCGAAATGCTCCTCTTTCTCGAAAAGTCTACATCGACGGGATAAAAAAATACGAAGCTCAAATTAAAAATTTGAGGAAAAAGACACTACATGAGCTCAAACAGATTGTAGGCGATTACGATCTATAATTTGCACCGACAGGTTATAATGGTAGATTTTTGAAAAAGAATTTGCTGTCGGCGATTCAAAATTCTAGGCAACCCGAAGATTTTCAAGATGCTGAGTTTACACTGCTGAGAAAATTCAGGAACTGATTCCTAGACTTTTTAACGACGATTTAGTCAAGTTTTTTTTGATACGCACAAAGATCAAACTGTGAATAAAATCAAGTCGAAATTGAGAGAGCTAAAAGGTTTAAAAGTAGAACTTGTGATCAAAATAAGATATGAAAAAAAAAACCGGATGGTACGATCAAAACGATTAAAGCTATTCATTTCAGCGATCAGAGAGTCGTTTTAAATCAAAATCAAATAAAACAGGTTTCAAAAGAAGACATCGACCAGCTATTTAGAAAGGATGAAAGGATGATACGAATCAAGGATTGGGTGGGGTTTTAAGAAAGGTAATGGCGTTGTACATCAACATCAACAGGTTCGGAAATAGACCTAACAAAATGTATCAAACAGAAAAAGGCGATGATAAACATTAAACACAAAAACGTGTCTAAAAACTACAAAGCAGAGTCACGACGATCTGTTTTTGTTTTCTGAGGGCGACAAGCATCACTACTGCTGGATGAATAATTTTTCGAGATTGATTTACAACGTTACAAAACACAAAAGTAAAACAATATTTCTGTCGAAAGGTGCCTGTGCCATTATAGAACGCAAGTAAAATTAGATAGACACATGACCGATTGTAATGTCAAAGATTGTATTTCGTACCGCTAAGCGAAAATACGTAAACTGAGAGTGGATAGTCGACGAAAACGATGTGCCAATATTAGAATTTAAAAAATAAAGGTTTAAACAAAAAAGCACAATTTGTAGTTAACGCCAACTTTGAATCAATATTAGATAAAACCGGAACGACAAAAAGGAAAACACGCATAAGATTAACATTCACAAAGCTAGCGGTTATGCGTTGGTATTAGTTAAATGCGACGGTAACAATGTGTATCAAGATACTTATAGAGGCAAAGACGCTTCAACTAGATTTATGAAAACGTTGTTAAAATTACAACGCGATATTTTTTTGCCTATTTAAAAAAAAAAAACATTAAATTTAACGAGCGAGCTAATGAACATCATGATAAAACAAACATGTGTTGGATTTGCGAAAAACCAACATATCCCAAATACTCGAGCAACTGTCAGTGCCAGAAACCCATATAACCAAAAACAGAAAACGAAATAAAAGAATATCAGTGCAAAAACAAAAACGGATTTTCACAATAGTCTACATGTCTAACGTGTAAAAAGAAAATCAACAAATTAAGAAGGGTAAGAGATTGCTGTCACGTCACGGGTAGATAGAGAGGTGCCGCGCACGCTTACTGCAATATAAAATTACAAGTTGAACCATGTTTTACCCCCATACTGGTCGTCTTTCACAATTTGCAAAATCACGACGCTCACCTGATTATGCCAAGTATTTCAGAGTACGATGATGAAAAGGTTATCGCTAAAAACTCGGAAAAGTGTATTTTGTTGTCGATTGGAAATATGCGATTTAAAGATTCGTTTCATTTTATGGGGTCTTCGTTGGATAGATTATCTAAAGCTTGTCCAAGAGAGTCAGCTAAACTAATCGTCAAAACATCGACACGTTGTTACAAAAAGGAATTTATCCGTAAAAATACATGGACTCGTTCGACAGATTTCAAGAGACCAGCCTACATCGAACAATTTGACAGCAGCCAAAAGACGAAAATATATCACGAGGGGACTACGACTGAGCTAAACTGACGTGAAACGAGTTTAACGTCAAAAACGTCGGGGAATATCACGATGTATACTGGCACACTTTTACTCGCTTGCGTATTTGAAAACTTTAGGCAAACGTGTATTACAAACTATGCGTTAGATCGAGGTAATTACTACACAGCACCAGGAGGGATATCATATGGTGGGTATAACGAAAACCCTGCCTCTTTTTCTAAAACGGTTGTTACGCCCCTAAAAGGGTATGTTTGAGATGATTCCATATCTGGATTTTTCCCCTCATGAGTAAAAATGTCTGTGGGACGTTTTATTGGTTCATGAAATATGAGCGCAATTTTTCCCAAGGTGGACATATTAATTACCCCTCCCTCTTTTTTTAAATGGCTGCCACACCCCCAAAAAGGTACTTTTGTGGTGGCTCTGAAACTGGAAAACACTTATAGTCTATATTATTTTGTTTTTGTGAAGTTTCCTGCTTTTGTTACAAGTAGGAACAACCGTTTTCACTGCGGGCATGATGAGTCCCCCCATTTTTTTCAAATTGATGCCACGCACCTAACAGGGAGAAAAGCGTAGTATGAACGAGTCCTGTTGATTACGTCGCGACTTACTATGTTTTGTTTGCTGCCCACAACGACGACTTTTGCACAGATTGCACGTTCGGGTCGAAACAGGACCTGAAAAAAACAGCTCACAAAAGTACCTTTTGTACTCAATTCATGACAGACACAATAGTCGTTTTTATTTCATCACACCTTAGGCTACATATACCCACAAAATGACGGAAATGTCCTCGAGCATTTCACAACCTCTTTAAAAGTAACGGAGAAATTAAGTCGTGCACACCACATTCACGATTGGAGTGTTTAGGCAATCAAACCGTGGACGAAAACTGACGGATAGTACAAACAAAAGAGGGACAATATGACGTCCACGGTGGTAGGTCGATACACGACAGGGTGGCCATGATTGTTTCCCATACCCATTGTGTAATGTAAATGTCAATTTGGTTTATTGAGAGTCCCAAATTTTCAGACTCGGTTTGCCTTGCCTTTTGCCTTGTCAGTGATCCGTTGTGGATGTTCTTAAAATTCTTTTAAATATTCACAAGTTAACCTAACAACGAACAAAATGTTAAACAGTTTTTCATAAACCATTGACAAATAGGACCGAGCCTCCCATTTGGCCGTTGTTGTTCCATAGAATCATTGGTACGCAACCTGAAGCAGTAACTAATGACCATGGGCGTCGCGAGGGGGGGGGCAAGGGGGGCACTTGCCCCCCCCCCCCCGGAAAAGCAAAAAAAAAAAAAAAACCGAAGAAAAAAAAAAAAGAAAAAGAGGCGCGAAGACAAAGTGGTGTAAATTTAATGAGTTGGGGGGGGCAAAATGTCCCTGCCCCCCTCTAAAACTGATAAATCGAGAATGTGTTGAGAAATACAAGCATTTTTTGGCAAAAAAAATGTTTTGCCCCCCTCTAGAAAAAATCCTGGCGACGCCCATGCTAATGACCCTACCACGATGCAACAAGAGGCTCAGGTATCCGCCCCTCCAGCTGCAACAGGTAAGTAGTAGTTGGACCAGTTGCTTAGGGTTAGTTTATGAGGGTGGGGGGAGCAGTTCCCTGCCACCTTCCTCACTCACCGTCCCACCTACCTCGCCCCAAAAGATTTCATCAGTCGTTGCCTGGTTTCAAATTCTTTTATTAACGGTCAGGGTTTTTATAAATTTGTAGGACTATCGTCATTGAAGGTAAAATTGACCATGTTGATTTTTTTTATTTGAAGCAACAAAAGTGCTCAAAATCTAAAAACGGGTTCTTAACACAGTTCAATGAATGCTGTATAATTCAAGAAAACACAACACTGTGGATCGAGATTCTGATTCAAAGGTTGCAGAGTCATATTTTGAATTGCGCCCTCTCGTGACACAATCTCGAAATCAGCATTCGGGACATGATTCTCATTGTGCTGCGTGATGTCACATATGGACCGAGAATAATACCAGCCGCGCTCCCATGTGCGTTGTGTCAACGCTTACATCCATTCCTGGAGTCCCCCAAATACAAACCGACGACAAATGAAAAATTCCAAAAATATGTTTCTGTCTTTGAAAAATGACCTTTTCTTGTTTTTTTTCCAAATGACATCATACACTATAAGGAATCATTTCACAGGGAGTTTAATGTCCTTTAAAGTTACATGAAATTGATCCCCATGTGAAAGTTCTCCTGGATTCATAACAAATTGGCGACGACATGCCTGATTCAGAGCGATTCATCTTGACGTATCGAAATAAGTAAATCGTTACATATTGCACCAGTGTGTCGATGTCTGACCACTCTAAGGAACGGAAATCCAACTAGGAGGAACCGCGTGGTCCAGGGTTTATTGGAAGCATTGAGGCATCACTCACTCTCTCTACCGCATAGACAACTGGGGTCCGTCTCGCTGATCTACTGTGTCCGCGGTTTTTAGCCTGGTTCCAGAGCCTGTCAACGTTGCTGGGCGGTCCCAGTTGGTCGACCCAGGATGTCCTTGGTCAGCCCCGGGGTTGACCAGCCAGGTCCTGGGGGAATACTGCCTCTGCCATGGCGATGTTAACTGCCTTCTTTGCTGGGGTATTGTCGGCAAGGCGGGCAGTCTGACCGAAGAGAGCCTCTCTGCGGTTTCGGACTAAATGTCCAATGATTTATTTTTTTTTGGGGGGGGGGGGTTGACCTCTGCATTGGTGATATGGTCATACCAACGG